TCTCCTCTTTGCATAGAGTGGTATACTTTTGGTAACACCTATTAAACAATACACATTTTAATTATTAAATAATTAGCAAATTATAGAAATTTTCTTATTTACACTTTGAATCAAGTTAACAGAATAACCATATTTCTGTCTTTTGTTATACAGTAATTACTCTTGCTGACTGACTTGTTTGGTAATAAATATATCCTCTTCTTGACAAAACTTGTAAGGTGATCTTATAATAAAATTGATTAACAGAGACATGTATAAAAGCATAAAATTATTTATTCTATAAAGAGGGATTGTGAGTAGCATAGAAGACTGTTCCAAAAATAACAATCAGAAAAGTATGTCACCATTGATGTCAGTAACTATTGATAACATATGAATCAGCTACATTGAAATACACATTTAGCACACTTCAGGGTAGAAAAATATAAATATATTTATATTATTTTAAAATTATTTGTCTCTCTAATTTGCAATAATATAACAACATGCATAGGATGTTTTATCAATATCATAATTATTTTACATATAAAATCAAGCCTGATATTTGTTAATAATCAAATGGTACATCCGGATTCATATTGAGTCGTGATAAGGCTACTCAAATTATTAAAAAACTAAGATTTAACATAAGATATTGGCTTAATCCCCTAGAACTAGGGGATTAAGCCAATATCTTATGTTAAATTTAATCATTAGAATGAAGAATCAGCACAGGAGAATAATTATATCTTCTAAATTAATCCGTCTGGAAGAGTGGATGAAAATTCAGACAGAATAATGGCAAATGCATCCAACTGGAAACAGCAGTTGTGGATTCGAGTCTTGCTTTGAGCTAATCTTTTCTTCCAGAAATTTTAAATTAAATCTAACAAGAAATGTAAGTTAAATCCATAGTCAAAATTACTTATCATCTTAATAATTTACTTAGCTATATCATAATCAAATGATATGTCACATCGGGCTATCATCATGAATATTTTATTTAAAATTACTCAATATACGACTCTGTATTATAAAAAACATCATAATCACCAAATCAAACAACTTTTAAACTCAGACTGGTACAAAAACCTCACTAGTGTAAGTAATTCTTATTGTTTGAGATGCTTGACACTTGCTTTAGTGCCAATTTCAGATGTAAACAAATAGTAATGCTTGAGGTCTCACTGTTTTTCCCTATTTTATTAAAATCTATCTATCAAAATTAAAAATATAAGAAAATAAGAACCAAAATTCTTTATGTTGAAAATTAAATATTGAAAATTTTAACATTTTTGTAGTACCGAGAAATAGATAAAGATCAACAGAACATATTCCATCAAGCACAGTAATTCAAAAAAAAAAAAAGTTAGCACAGGAAAGAGGTGACTGACTCATGTTCTATACCAAAATAACTCATACAAAATATTCCAAATTTCGACTGCATAAATCTATTATAAATTATAAATTTCCAAATTTATTTACATTTAAATTTAATGCCAATTTGTAAATGAAGACGAGTTTGAAATGACTAAAGTCAGATTTTAAAATAAAAATAATCTTCAAAGAATTAGCCGAAAATTAAATTTAAATTGTACTTCGATTCGTCGAACATATTTTACGCATTAGATTATTAATAAATTATCGCAAATACATCAGACAAAACTTAAGTTCTGCCAATTGTAATATCAACAACTACAAACTTGACAACATGTGGTTTCAATTCTAAAAGCAATTATTTTTTTATCCTCCGTCGTATCGTAAATATCTAAGCACGACAGGAAGATCCTTGTTTTCTTTTTAATTAAACAACAATCATCTTTCTTTCTTAAATACTTTTCAAAATTTGTTATTTATTTTTTCATAAATAATTAAAGTAAATTATTACTACATTAAAATTAATTTTGAATAATTTTAATTTCTGTAGCTTCCAAAGTTTTTAAATGTGAATTAAAATTCAAGAAAAATGTTTAAACATTAAAATATTTTTATGTTTAAATAAGCCAATAAATACAGTGCAATCGTAAAGTCCTCCCTGCAGTGGACAGGAAAACAGGAGAAGCTTCTGGGGACAAAGTAATGACGTTGAAGACAGACCGACCACTGAAAAAGTTAAAGTTATGTCACCACCACGTGGACATAGTCCACTACAGAGGGACTTTACAAATATTCCTTTTTATCATTGATGTTTATAGGTACAAAATAAACTCAGAATAAGAATTTTTGACAAATAACCAGTGCCAACTTTAAGTCAAACAGATCCAATCTTATAGATTAGAATCCTGTCTTATAGATTTTAGAATAGAGACATTGCATGCCACATCCTACAGGTGCCCAACTTGTTAAGGTAAGATTTGTGCACGCCATTTAACTCAAAGTTTCCTTTAATAATATTGATACATTCTACAATAAATTTATAGAACAATAGAATCTCATTAAATTAAAAAGTTTAAATAACTTTAGATACTTTGAAACAGAATATTTATTAAATGAGTCATATTCGAGCTAAACAGTATATAATTAGAATACTTTGTCACTAAAGTAGAATGTGTTGTCACCCATTAATAATCTTAATAATTTGACAGTTTTGATTAATTTAGAAACACCTTGAAAGAAAAAAAAGTGCTTGGAATAGAGTCAAACTCAACTTCCAAAAATCTGGCAGGTACAATTTCTAAGTTGTGCTATCCAAAATGAGGTCTTTGATGTTTAAGAATATAGAAACTAAACATGACCGTACAATTCGGCACAAATGCAGTTCGACAATTTAGGCAAAGTTTTGGGTATTATCGTGTAAGAAACTCAAGTCAATTACACTATTAAATATATAAAAATATATAAAGTATTAATTTCTACATAACAGATATAATTTTTATAGAATACTAGTAGTGAGTGTCTGGTGTCAATCAGAGGGGGCAGCAAATTGTAAGGTTGGGAGAGGGTAATAAAGACAATGGTGTTACATTTATCAACCCAAGTATTTATAATAACAGAACCAACCACAAACACAAAAAATTGCTCATGCTTAAAAGAGGGTGAGGACTCCCTATTTTCTAAGGTTTCAAAGAATATTTATGCCAAATTTGGTGAAGATATGCTAATGGTATAGAAGCCTTTGCCTAACATACATACATACACAGTTGATTTTCATTGATAATCCATCCGAAAACAATCAGCAAAATCCAAAACTGATGAAAACTGAGGCAATTATTTCCATATGAATCAATGTAAATCCAATTAATTCATTCTAGACACTCCAAAATGCATACCAAAAACACATTTTATATAGAATAAATATTGTGTTTAATACTAAAAATAATAAGAAATTAATATAAAAAACTAATGTAGAGAATAAATAAACATTTAACATGGCATTCAAAGGGCTTTGGAAACTTCTTTTCTTTGGTCCCATGATGAAGAACTGAGACAAATTTTTCGTGAAAAAAAATTAATGAAAACCAAGATATTACTGTATATATTTTGACTTGACTTATATTCAATATATATAAAAACACATTTTCTACAGTTCCAGTAAAAGATTAGATTTAATACAGTATGTCGCAAACATTTTTGGACATTTTACATTGTCCTTCCTCAGGCATTAGAAAAAAAATAATAATAAATTAGAACAAAATAAAATTTTAGAACATGCAATATTTTCCAAACACATACAAAATATTTGAAATGCATCCTAGACATAATAAACTCAAACAAAATGCAAATTAAATCCATTAATAATCTTTAAACATTAAAAATAATTAAAGTTGAACTTTCTATTCCGGTTGCAAATATTTTTCCATGTAATTTTATATATAGTATTTCTTTTGCAATGAATCATTAAAATTACAGAAGTATTACGAAAATACAGAATTTTTATTCAATAATTATGATAAAACAATACAGATTTCGTGTTACAAAATCTCTTGGTAAAGTTTATCAAGTAGAAACTAGATTTTGTTATTGTTTAAAATGAAAATAAATCTTTATTTGAAACGGCAACAATCAAATTTATTTTGATTTTATCTATGTCTGGTAAATAAAATCAAAACAAATTGTGATAAGCTTTGAAAGCCATTCTACTATGTTTGCATTAATGACAAATAACTTTTAAATAAAATAAATAAATTTGAATCTAATTTCTCTCATCATTAATATTTCAAAAATTAAATTTCTTAATTTTATTATGATGTAAGAAATAGATTGAGAAATCAAAATCAGATTTCAAATCTTAGGAAATATTCTTATAAAACGACATGTACTATTATACAAAAAACAATCAATCAATTTATTTCGTAAACCTATATATATATATTTATTAAATTTATTTAGTTCTTTCCTCCTTTTTTTCCTTTAAAAATGCCAATATCATTTCTGAAGGCAAATGCATGTGTGTGGAATGTCAAGAAAACAGCAAGACGGTGGCAACGATCATCATCAGCAATGATGGCAATATTGCCATACTTCTGATGACCACTAGTAACATGATTTGTTGCATGCAATCTGACATTTTGAGTTAATTTCTTGTTATCTTTTAACATGATGGAGAATTTAAAAGCATATCTTTATGTAGAAAACTTCATAAATATCTATTAATTTAAAAATGTAGCATAACAATCATTTTTATCCATCTTGAATATATATGTCAGTGCTTCTCAGTTTTCACAGACCAGCATTTTTCGTTCTGATCCTTCGTAGAGCAGTACTTTTGTGAAATTAAATGAAAATAATTATAAAATGAAGAAAACAAAATTCAAATGCATTTTTTCTATTTTTATTTTTAAATAAAATCTCATTACAGCCCAGTTTGTTATGGACACTGGTCCACAGATCAAGTTTGACTAGCACTGATCTATATTGTACATTCTTGCCACACATGCACATTCTCCTTTAGATTCCAGTTAACATTTTAAAATCTTATACTTTATAACACTAATTAGCATTATCAAATTTACAAGTCGACATGGAACTACGCCAGTTAATGTCAAGAATTAGAAAAGCATTAAATATAAAAAAAAACACACCTCAGCTCTTTTCAGCATCTCCCATTTATTAAGTATTTTCATTGCAAAGACTTTATCGTTGTCTTTCTGCTTTACAACCGCAACCTGAAATCAAATTTGTACCATTAATCGATATTAATTGTTCGTATACTTTAATTAGCACAACCAAACAAAATAAGTTTACCTCTCCAAATGCACCCCGTCCAATGACTTTTAAAATTTCAAAATCATCTCGTGCCAATCTCAGGTTTTTTATTTTCTCGACCACCGGGTTCACTGAAATGCAAACAAATTTACTAATGACATATATTAAACATTAAGAATAAATTAATTTTTAGAAATTTCACAATTCAATAGAACAGATTATGTTTTATCCTTAAAAATTAATTAGCAACTACTTAATTTGTTAATGTGGAATTTGAATAGATCAATCATAAATACATTTTGACCACATCTCACTTAACAAGTTAGTTGTTGGAACGGAACTCCATCATTAAGTGAAGAGTGTGCAATAAAGCACAAATTTATAAATGAAATATGTAGAGTCTTGGGGATTGCAGAAACTAGACTGAGATTAAGAAAGAAGATTCCCCTGCTGGAGAGATGGTTGTAAGTCTAAGTGGTCGTTAAGCAAGGAGTGACAGTACTGACAACAATATACTAGGAGAACACATTACTTTACATCATCACAAAGTTATTATACATGTATTAACATATATAAGATATTGATATATTAATAAATATATGAGTGTGGTTCAGACTTCTGTCCAGGATTTCATTAATGTTGATGGACCCATATGGGTTACACAGTCTCAAATTTGTTTCTTTCTCTAGGTACTCTCTTTTCACATTTCCCATTGTTTTGGCAACAATATTATGCCTGCAGAATAGAAGTTATTTAGCCAGTGTCGGAGCTAATGTACGACAAAATCTCAGATTTCAGTGTTTTGGGCAATCTTCTGTTTTTTATGGTTTCCTTCAAAAAAAAAAAAAAGCCAAACAGATGATAATTGCACGGAGATAGATCTAGAATTCTCCAATAAGTCCATTGATCTCCTCCACCACATTCAGGACCAAGCTCATGTGAAGGATTGTGTGTCATTACCAAACAATGAAAGAGGTGTAAGCTTTGAAAGGGGAATACCCAGAGAAAGAAATATAAATTGGGACTTTGTAATGTGTACAGTTCCACCACCATTACCAAAATTTTCGAAAAAATTTGAACTGCACTCATGAATAAACACACACACTTAGATATAATCAAAAATGTCTATTGGAATAAAGCTGGTGGTATTCTATTTTTTTCTCTCAACTATATCAATTGATAATCAATGAAATTAATAATACAATTACATAATTTTAGAAAATAATCCTAAATTTTTATTTACTTCTGTTAATTTTGATGAAAATTACATTATTAATGTGTAGGCAATTATATAAAAATATTTAAACTATAGAAAAGCCAATGCATGTCATTAAAGTTATTGACTGATTGTCGATAAGATATATATTGGACTAGATTAACAGAAATAACATCGAATCGTTAGATTAAAAGTCATTCTAGCTTATCTGATGCGTCTTATTAAAATATAAATATTAAGATAAACTGTAATTTAGTGATTTTAAAATTCATTAATTATAAAACATAATTGGAAAGCTTATTTTAATTATTCTTAATTATTAAATGTTGTATTCTCATTAAATATACAAATAATTTCTACTTTTGCAATTCATAATTATGAATATTTATACTTAAAAGTAGTCTATTTTCAGATAAAACTTGGGCATTAAATGTTACTAGAATAAATAGCAGTACATTGCGAGGCAACAGACTTATGTTGATGGACACGACGAAAACTCCATCTGGATAAATTCTCCCAGATATCCCCCGCTATCGGCTCGTGAGCCAAGCACGGAAGTTTGTCCCTGTTGCAGCCTAACAGAGCACTGGAGCAAATGTATATCTTCGAACAGTCTGGGTGATTAGTCATCCAGATACTTCAACTAATCAGAGTATCTTCACATCACTGTTCTGTCATTTCTATTATGCAGTACAGTAGTGAAAGACTGCTCACTTTTGATGAAGAGAGGAGGTAATTCTTGGTATGAGGGAGACACTCAAACCAAATCTGTAAACAACATATAAGTGCCACTAATTCAGGTGAGCAAACACACTGTGTGAACATTGCCTTAAGCCTCCATTTTTAAAGTTTAAAAATAATGAATTAACGAAACTAGACCAATGTGATTCTAGAAATCAAAGATCTGAAAGATCTTAGTCAATAATAAAGAAACAATGACTCCTAGAACAATTATTTTATTAATTCATTAGATAAGATAGATTAGAAAATAGTCAGATTTAAAGTTATCTTTAAACTATAAAAACTGCTTTTAAATACTAAACTCAATGATAAGATAATTAAAAAAATTTTTTTAAATTATTTAGATTTACCTGCACTAATTACCACACCTTTAACAGTGGAATTATAGAAGAATGCTAATGTTTTCCCTCAAAAATGGAGTTTACACTCCAGTTTTGACTTCTGACATGAAGGATGCCCCATTAACTGGGTTGATAATGTTAGCATTCTTCTAAAATTCCACTGTTAAGGTGTGATAATTAATCCAGCTAACTTATTACTATTTTGTATATTCAAGATTATTAATATTCTACACATAAACAGAATACAGAACTACTTATTTCAATTTAAACTCAAGTAACATGCACAGTTTTTTTTTAAAACTGTTTCAAACAATGTCATTGCTAAGCAACCAACTGTTCCTTTATTTAGTTGAACTTTAAAAAATTAATAAAGATACAGTAAATTTATTTATTAATGCTATTTTTTGTTTATCATTGATCACTTGACTAAATTTAATTCCATTTTTTCACATGCAAGCACTATTTTAAAGAAATCTTTTTGCTTTAATCGGGTGTTATTTACACAATTTGTATATACTATATTTAAAAGCACTCTTTGTCCTTCTAAAATTCCAAACATGGAGCTTTAAACTCTAAAATATTTAACATTAGCAAACTTAGATATTTAATTCAATTACGGGTATGTGCCACTTAATGACAGATATATCATAAAACTACAATGAAGCTGTTCGACTGTACTTTTTCTATGTTTATATACATAAATTCTTGTTGTTCTGTTATGTATAGCCTATACAAGTAGTAGGCATAATGCTACATTCAGTTTATATAAGTGTACTCTACAATGCTTGCTAAGCATGATATTTATTCAAGCATATACCCATTAAGGGACATGCGCTTGTATTAATCTGAGATAGTAAAGAATTTAAATCCAAATAATAATTTATTTTTTCATAAATACTAGAGTTTTAATGCTACATATAAACTTCTGGAATACATTTTTAACATTTATACAATTACAAACATTTATTTCCAATGTTAATATAAATATCAGCTAATGTATAATATTAACTATCCAAATTTAAGTTCACACATTAAAAATTTTAATGTAAGCATCGATTTAACTGGAAATTCGGTAAATTTTCTTTCAATATTATCTCGTAAAATTAACATCCACATGAAAGCATGAGTCATCTCAATTTGTTTTGTATGTGAATGTGTGTATTAAAAACAAGATGTACGGCAGAGATAACATATCACACTAATCAGGAAGATTTTTGTTATTGCAGGAAGTTGAATTTATAAAAATATAATTACATAATACTTCTATACATGTAACTGATTATAATTATTTTCTAAATAAACAAATTGAGGATAGCAGTTAATAGATTTAATGGATATTTACAGTTTATATGATAATTAAATATTAATTTGTAGATTATTGAAACAAAATTATCTATACTTAAAGTGTGTGAAAATACAACCCTAAGTTGGCAAAGGCATCAGCCTACTACTCTACAAGATCTGATTAGTCCCTCGCCACCTGGCAAAATCCATAATGGATATACTTAAAAAGACCCTCTTAGTGACTGTAGGATATAAAGAGAAAGGAGAGAAAACAAATTTTATAAATCAAACAACAAACTGGATTTATTATCAGGCTACATTTTGGCTAGTTAAATATACAAATGCTATGTAATCTGCACTAAAGTGAAGATAAAGTGGAGGTAATTGGCAATGCAACTGCACAGTAAGCAGAAATTGTGGGTTCAAGCTATGCTCCAAACCAATCTTTTCTTCTAGAATATTACAAATGAATAAATTTAATACAAGATGGCAACTTAATCACTTATCTTTAGCCCAAATAACATAGTATTTATATATTTAATTAGCTAAAATGTAGCCCAATAATGAATTTGGCTTGTTATTTGATTAGTAATATAATTCAAGTTTGGTTTCTTATGTGACAATTTTATAAATTTGCAATACAGATTTTTATACATTAGCAAATGAAAAAATTTAACTTAATTATAAAGTATTGCGATTATTTGTAATATTAAATTAATTAATTAATTAAAAAATATATATATAAAATTTCTCTATTGTTACAGAAAATATTGATAAGGAGAGTTTATTTAGTTAATATTCCTCTTCATAAACCAAGCAGACTTATAAAACAGAATTATCAAAATGACTGTTATTCATTCCCATGAAAAAGATGATTCAGATAATATTAGAGTATTGAAAAGGTTATGATAAGATTCACTAAAACAATACAACTGAGAACAAACAAACATACTACTTAAAATTAATATAAATTTTATGTTACCAAGTTTTCCTGCACTTATGTGTACTCCTCATCGAGATATACAATGTATTCCCTTCAAACATCCCTGGTTTTGTGGATTAATTTTGGGAAAAGAAATGCGAGTACAGTGGTATCTCAGGATACGAAATTAATCCGTTCCGAAACTGAGATCGTATCATGAAAATGTCGTAAGGTGGATCATCTTTTCCCATACGATTACATGTAAAACCAAATAATTCGTTCCAACGCGAAAAACATACTCGAATTAAAGCCAAGTAATACTTTAAAAAAAATAACTGTAGTAAGAAAAACAAATGAAAAATGCAAACTAATGTAACGTCGTATGGTGAGTTTTTGTTCATATCGTGGAGCAAAAATATGTTCGAATTTCATGTCGTATCCTGAAAATTTCGTATGCTGGGGCGTTCGTAACCTGAGGTACCACTGTATAGTACTGTAGACAGCATTAATAGAAAGAGCATCCAAAAAAGTTTGTTATTACATTAAATCAGTACATTCCCACATATATTGCTTACAATATCTGGTCTGTACTTGATTTTGGTCAATATCAACTTCCAAAATTAATTA